AGGACAAAGATATAAACCCGTGCACCTACAGTCACCTGATTCCCAACAAAGCTACCAGAATCATATGTTGGTGAACAGACAGCCTCATGAGCAAATGGAGCTGGGGAAACTGGGTATCACACTTAGAAGACAGAAACTAGAGCCGTGTCTCTCGTACTACAGAAAAATCAGTTAAGAATGGATCAGAAACCTTCATACAAGATCTGAAATTTTGACATTAGTAGAAGAAATGAGGAAACTACTTTAAGACAGACTTCTTCTCAAAACAAAAAATCTACTAGTATAACACTGACCATGAATAAAAATACGTGTTTGAAACCAAGTATGAGGCCTGCATTCCAGGAACTTAGGAAATAGAGGCAGGAGGATCAGGAATTTGAAGTCTTCCTCAACTACATAGTGAGTTCAAGGCCATCTGGGCCACATAAAACTGTATCCAAACAATTAAAAAGACAAGCTGTGTGGGCTGATGCTGGCCTTTAATCCCAGCACCCCGAAGCCAAGCGGAGTAGAATCTGTGTGAGGTGAGGCCAGTCTCTTCTACATATTGATTCTCAGGTCAGGTCGGGCATCAGGGGACCCTGTCTCAACCTCCCATCCACCCACCCAAGAAGAGAAAGAAAGAATGAAAAAAATTTCCAAACAAAAGCAAAAGAATCGTCTTGAAAATGTTGACATTAAAGCAGACATTTATAGGCAAAAGGTTTTAACTTGGTAAAACTGAAGTGCACAATGAGGGACTGAAAAATGTTCCTGTTTCATTAAGGGTGAACAGTTGCTATGCACTGGCTCCACCCAGAGAACTTCCTGAGTAAACGGCTTTAAGGAGTGTAAGTACTTTTCCTTCACAGTCAGGCAGAAGCTCGGGCTCAAACAGCCCCACTCAGAGACCTTGAACTCTCATCAGCTCCTGCAGAAGAAGGTGAGCCTGGCTGGGAAGAGACCCAGAGGTAAAGAGCTGTGAGGGGCACAGGGGACAGAGAGTCTGAGTGCTGGGTGGAATGTGGCCTGATGGGGGTATGGTGTTACCAGTACCAGGGAGGGTGCTGCCTCCCTGAGAGTGACAGGGGGTTAGGGAACATAGGAGATTAAGGAGCATGGTGCCCCTAACTCCCACACTTCACAGGATGAACTCTTTATAGCGCACCTGCCATAGCTGTCTGTCAGGCAGACACAGAGCACTGCTGAGAACCTGCACGAGAAGGTCTGTGCCCTCAGGGAAGGCTTTTCAGAGCTGGAAGGAGCTGACAGGTCCTCCATCTAAGTCCCTCTTTGAGTTGAAAGAATCCCAGGAAGCCTTGACTCTCTTGGTTATCTGGGTCACTCAGAACCCAGGAAAGCTAGAATTCAGTGTGCTGACTCCTCCGCATCATTCAACAATCTGAGTCCGCAGTGTGACCTGGGGGATGGAGGAGGGCGGCTGGGAAGGACAGGTGCTCTGAGCGAGCAGCACAACATGAGGTGTGTCTGCGTTGCTCTGGGTCCCTTGCTTTCAGTCCTTGGTTTTTCTCTGCATTGATTACCTTGCCTAGCAAGCCTCTTGGTCCTGAGTGGTGACCACACTCAGCCCTGTAATAGACCTTTACAGAACTGACCTGGTGGAGCTCAGGACAACACTGTTTGGCTCTTTGGACTTCTGTGTTTCACAGTGGAAAGAAGTGAATCTAAAGGAGTTCTAGAAAAGACAAGATAAACACTTGCTTCTTTCCCTTTGACGGGGTTCATTGGTGAGATGTTCTCAAAGCACACTGCGGGAGAGTGGTTTACTTCCTTTACAGAGATGGTACCGTGATACCCTACTGTGCTTCAAAATATTTTAAATACATGATTAGAGTTTTGTTCTTATCAATGTCCAAACTGAGTCTCTTCAAGGTAGCCTCAGAATCCTTTTCACAGAACAAAATTAATTTTTGTGTGTCTTCTTGTTTGAATTTGAAATCATTCCACAGGCTTCTCTTGGGGCGTCACTAGATATTTGTTCTTCATTCCAAGGGGTCCAAAATTTTAGGTGTGAAATGTCATATGAAGATTCATACATGGCATGAAACTCTGATACTGGACTACCACAGTCTTCAGCTGTTAGATAGACTTCAAAACTCTACACATACACACACCCCCACACACACATATACACACACACACATATACACACAGACACAATCATACACACATATGTACATACATAGACACACATACACATAAATATACACATACACATACATACACAAACACACAGAGAAACACGCCACATATACACACACAGACACATACATACAAATACACACATGGAGACACATGCACACAGAAATACACACAGATACACACACGTACACGTAATATACATACACAGAGACACAAACAGATACAAACAGACATGCACACACTACATGTACACAGACATATAAACATATACAAGACAATGTGATCCTATAAATAGCTTAAGGGCTTTTGATGGTTTTATTTCTTTGTTGTTTCTTTCTGTCCTTAGGGTTTGTCTTCTGAGGCCTGGATGATGAAATGTCGACACTCTTCAGGCCTCGTGGACCAACTCTTCGTGTGGTCCATCTATCATTTAGAATGCGATTAGGATCATTTGATTCATTTGGTGTTTATTTTACGGAGTTTCAATATGGTTTTCGTTGGGTAATTATGAAAATGATTCTAAATAACGTCCAGCTCAAATCTACAAAGCAGGCTGGTGGGCGGAGTCTGGTTTCCTGCTGTCTTCCTCTCTTCATCTGGTTTCTCCAATTCTGGAGCAAATAATGTGTGTGTGCTTCAGCTCAGATGATCTTGCCAGTGCCTTCAACATACATGAGAGCAGTACATGCATTTCATATGTCTCTTCTTATGTGAGTGGTAGTAACTGTACATTATCTTCTCCAGTTTGCCTTTCTCTTCATGGGGGTTCTGTTTGTTTTTGACATTGTCTCCCTAGTCCAATCTTCCTGGAACTCACTAAGGGGACCAGGTTGACCTCTATCTCACAGAGACCCATCTGCCTCTGTGTCCCACAGGCTTGGATTAAAGCACTCACCACCACACCTGGGCAGTTTGCCTTTTTAAAAATTAAAGGGTGGAATGTGGACTACCAGTCTTTTGAAATTTTATCTGGGTGTATATATTTACTTGTGCCTCTGTCCGTTGGAAGGCAAGCACAGCACGGTGTAGAGCTCAGAGGACAAATTGTGGGAGTCTTTCTTTCTCTCCACCATGTGGGCTCTGGGGGTGAAGCTCAAGTCATCAGGTTGGGTGCAAGTGCCTTCATCTGCTAAATCATCTAATGTCCCTCCCTCCCTCCCTCCCTCCCTCCTTCCCTTCTTTTTCTCTTCTCTTTCTTTTCCTTTCTTGTGGTGCTGGGACTCAAGCCCAGGGTCTTGCACAAGCTAGGCAATGGCTCTACCACCGAGCCACATCTCCAGCTCAGCACACTCATCTTGCACATAGAAATTTCTCTCATTCCGTTTTGAGTAGGAAAGCCCTCACTCCATGAATACCCTGACCTCATTTAGCTAGTTTGGAAATATTTAACCGCATGAAGCTGGTCCCTTAATAAGAAGACTTTGATGGGCTCTTTGCCTTTTGTTATTACTAAGAATGCTCCCTTAAAAGCCTGGTTCTTTTTTATTTCTGTATTTTTGTCGTTGTGACTCTGGGCATATTATTGATGACAGCTGCATCCTCTCCATTTCCCTTGTCTGCAGCTGTAACTAGCACCCCTTTCCTCCCCAAACTACATTCTTCATGTCTCTCTGTCCACGGGTGTGTTCCTCACTGTGGACCTGGAGGACAGCAGTGAGCACTAAACATACATATGAACCATGTTTGGAATTTACTTAGCTAAACAAATTAGTCCATTAGTCTATAATTCAGCCTTGTTCAAGTTCACAGGATAGGAGCAGCGTACAGTGTACAGCATACTCTTTCTCAGAATATATCATGAATACCCTCTAACTCAGTTCCCAATATGGCCCTGCTCCGCTGTGCAGCATCGCTGGCCAGGTCTCCACTGTCTGCATTTCTCTCAGTGTTCTGGATGTCCACACCCCCTCCAGAATGACCCGTCACTCTCTGTGTATAGCAGTCCCAGGTTCTCTAGGCGGAATCTCCAAACTCTTCCCCCCTTACACACACCAGTTTCCAGGGCCTGTGAAACACATGGTCAGGTTTGCACAGCCCCGGTCCTTGGTACCACTTGTCCTAACTCTTTACTTGTCTCGTTGGGATAGAATAGCTGACAAAGGCAACTGGAGTCGGGTTTATCACCATCTACAGCTCGGGAGTGTACAGTCCACCACAGATGGTCAGGCATGGAGACAGGTAGCTCCGTGGTGTCAGGAGCGTGCAGCTGGACTCCACATTCTCACGCATCTTGGTGGAACAGGAATTGGAGTTGGGCGATAAAACCTCAAGCCCCACTTCCTGTGGGCTCCACCATCTAAAGGTTCCACGACCTTCCAAAAGAGATCCATCAGCAGGGAGAAAAGTGATCAGTCACATGAACCCAGGGTAATATTCACATTGGATCCACAACACACAGTGCATTATACAGAAGCATTTGATAAATCATTTAGGGTTTTTGTTTTGACATTCACTAATAAGACACATGTAGCTTTTTTATTGGTGAAATCATCATCAGCTTTCGGAACTAATATTAAACTTGCTTTCTAGAGTTTAAATTTTTCTTTTTATTATTCTAAATAATATCTAATGATTGATATTTATTGATTCAGTATGTTTCAAGAGCTGTATTAAAATGTGACTGGTCAAATCAGGGGAAGCATCATTTCCATTTTCTTACTGTCTCTTTATGTTTGCCATCTCTGAAAGCCTCTCTTAGCTCTTCATCTAATATATAGTAGGTTATTGGAACTAAAGTCAGCCCACTGTGCTCCAGAGTATTAATTTATTCCTTTGACGTAAGTGTGTCTTTTCCTCTTTACTGACACAGCATCGTAGACTAGCGCAGACTGACCTCACTCTAGGGATCCTCCTGTCTTGGTCTCCTGATGCCTTTCTTTCATTTGCGTTGGTTTTTATTCTGAAGTTAATCTGGCCTTAGTTTTTGTTTCCTGAGCTTCTCCTGTGATGTCTTTGTCTTCTGAGTCTCTGTGTCATATTTGCATAGTGGACACCATTGTCTCTGTGGCTTTTAAAAGACAGGTTTATAGTAAAAGATTTGGGGATGAAGATACGTTTTGATGGGCCATTTTGGCTTTGGTTCTACTCAGACACTGTAGCATAGATTTCCTATAGTTCCTTTGGCAGTGGCAGTTGGTATAGGGATCTGGGAATGCAGCTCCTCAGTCATCGTTGGGCTTTCAAGCACATGGCAGGGCAGAGATTGAAGTGAACTGCCTTTGGTCTGCCTTACGTGAGGCCTGGGAGTGATGACCACTTGCTCTAGTGCTGGCATGTAGAATAACAGTAGGAACACACCTTATATGTAATCATGAACATCGTAAGGAACACTGAGATCGTCAGAGTTCTAAAAGCACACTAGGGCTGATGAGAAGGCTCAACAGGTGAAGGCCCTTGTTTCTCAAGCCTGACAGCCTGAGTTCAATATCCAGAACCCATGTAAAGTGGAAAGACAGAACCAATGCCATGAAATTTTCCTCTGACCTCCACACACACCAAGGCTCAGAACTGCCAGTGGAACTCCATGTCTACTTATATGGACAAGCACTCTTTCGTGAGGAAACTGATTTCTCCATTTTTTCTATGGTCACGCATCATCTTTCTGCCTCTAGTTTCCATTGCACAAAGACAATAGAATATGACAAAATTTCATAGAGGGAAAGGAAAAAGGAAGGATTTGGAATGGTTCCCATGTATCTAACGCCATCTTCTCTCCTCCTTTTCCCTAAGATCTGCGCGGTCCTGATCCCGGCCCTTCCCTGACATAAACATGGCTGGCTGTGAAAACGCTGCTCTGAGGATCGTTCTGGTAGGAAAGACAGGAAGTGGAAAGAGTGCCACGGCCAACACCATCCTGGGGGAAAAGAGATTTGTTTCACAAATTTCTGCCCAAGCTGTTACCAAGACCTGCCAGAAAGCATCCCGGACATGGAACAGGAGAGAACTAGTTGTTGTTGACACTCCTGGGCTCTTTGATACCAAGGAGACCATGAATAAAACATGTGAAGAAATCAGCCGCTGTGTCCTCTCCTCCTGCCCTGGGCCTCACGCCATCATCCTGGTTCTGCAGCTGGGCCGCTACACAGAGGAAGAAAAGAGGACTGTTGCTTTGATCAAGGCTCTCTTTGGGGAGGCAGCCATGAAGTACGTGATTGTCCTGTTCACTCGCAAAGACCAACTTGAGGGCCGGACCCTTAATGACTTTTTAAAAGAAGACTCAAAGCTGAGCAGCCTCATCCAGGCGTGTGGGAGCCGCTGCCTGGCCTTTAACAACACAGCAGGGGAGGCTGAGAAGGAAGATCAAGTGCAGGAGCTGGTTCAGCTGATAGAGAGAATGGTGCGGGGCAATGGAGGGACTTACTTTTCTGACAACATATACAAGGATGCGGAGGGAAGGGTGAGCCGATGTCTAAGAGATTTGGAGAAGGAATACACGGATCAATTCAATGAGGATATCAGAAGAATAAAACAGGAATATTCAAATAAATTAAAAGAACAACTGAGAAAAATTGAAGAAATAGAGAGAGGCCATGATGAAAGAATGAGAAATATAAGGGAAACAGCTGAGGAGAATGCATTTGAAGGATTTTTTAAATATATATGGAAAAAAATTTCAAATTTTTTGCGCATGCTGTGGTGATGATGCAAATTACATTTGTTTTTTATTAATTACATTTGTTCTCTGACAGTTTCATACAACTATACAATACATTCTGATTGCATTCGTTTTGATGTTTGCTTTGTTTTGTTTTATACTGGGTTTAACCAGGACCCTCTGGGTGATAATGGGTTGGAATTATGTGTCAGACCTTGCTGAGCTCACCAGTGGGTACAGAGCTGAACACAATGACTCTCTCTGTGTCTCCCAGAATTCTGAACTAGTTCGCCAGGGTGGAGTAGGTCCCTGTGAGCCCCTTCTCACAAAATGGCAGAAAATCTTTGCCAGATCTTCATCCAACAGAGGGTTAATGTCTATAATATTCAAAGAACTCAAAGCACTAGATATTAAGAAAAATAACCCCCCAATTAAAAATGGGCTATAGAACTAGACAGCAAAAGGGGGGAGGCTGTAAATAGCTAGGAAACAGTTGACAAGTATTGACCCCCCCCACCCATCAAAGATAAATAAATTAGAACTATTTTAACATCTTTCATCACTCCAGTCAGACTGGCCATTGTGATGCTTCGTTTCTGCCAACCTGACACAAACTAGAGCCACCTGGGAAGATGGAACCTCACCTGAGGAGTTTCCTTCTTCAGACTGGGCTGTGGCCATGACTGAGGGCATTTTCCTGATTGCTAACTGATGTAGGAGGCCCAGGCACTGTGGACACTGCCATCCCCGGGGCAGGTGGGCCTGGGCTGGATGAGGAAAGTGCTGAGCGCTCCAGGGGAAGCAAACTAGTAAGCAGCGCTCCTCCATGGCCTCTGTTTAGTTACAGCTCTAGGTTCCTGTCTTCAGTTCCCGCCCGACTCTCCTCAGTGAGGAACTCTTGCCTTGGAACTGCAAGAAAAACCAAACCTTCTCCTCCCCAAGTTGTTTTTTGGTCATGATATTTGCCCCAAAGACAGGAAACAAAACAGCCATCATCAGGAATACAAATATCAATAAATGCTGGCATGGATGTAGGTAAAGGGGAACTTTCCTTTGAGCTTTTGTACAATTCATACAATAGTTCTGAATCAAATTTAGACCTCCTCCCCCATCCGTGCCCCTCAAGCCCCCCACTAGACCTTACGCATTCTGCCATTCATGTTAAGTCCTATCCAGTCAAGCAATTGTACCCAGATGTCCCTCAGTGCAAATTCATCCACTGGTGTCTGGTCAGCCTATCTAGAGATCATTGGTAAGGCCTACTCTCCCTCACCCAGCAGTAATCAGTCTCCAATAGTTCCCAGACAAGGGCCTGCCTGTCACCCATTTCCTTCCCTCCATTTTGGACCCTTGTCTGATTGAGTTGACACGGGTCCTGTGCTCGATGCCACCACTGCCACAAGTTCACATGTGCAAGCTTCCAGTGGCCTGAAAACCTCTGCTTCCCTGTGTGCATGAACCAGCCCTGGCTCTGCAATGGTCCCTGAGCCATGGGTGGGAGAGGTTTAATATAGGAGTCCTATCCAGGGGCACACATTCTGCATTTTTATTCTTTAAAACTCAACGAGTTGTGGTCTTCTGTGCGCACCATACTCTGTGTATAAGGAAGCTCCAGCGGTGTAGCGATGCCCTCGTGCTCTCTCTGCCTCCCATTCTGCTGTGGTCCATGAGCATTAGGTACAGAGGTTCAGCTATAGATGTGTTACCTAGGACTGGGCATCTCTCAGATGTGTATTCTCTGTGTCCGATCAGTTGTGGGGTTCTGCAGAAGCCTCCGTCTGTTGCAAAGTTTCTTTTGATGAGTGGTGTACAGTGTACTTGTCTGTAAGTATAAGGATCCATATTTAGCATATGGTAAGAAATTTTATTTGTCTATAGCTATAAGAGAGACAGGGTTTTCTCTAGGCTCTATAACCTTTCCAGTCATGAGTACTTGGCTGTGTTTCGAGTTCACTCCCATTGAGAGGGCTTTAAATCCAATTACATAGCTGTAGATTACTCCTAGATAACAGTGCCCCTACTGCATCAAAAAGGTAGTTTGCTGTGCAGTCATTGTGGTTATTAGGCTTTAGGTTTGACCGTTGATTGATTTTCTCCCTTAGCAGCTTACATAGTGTCCCCAGAACTGTGAGAGGGAAACTTCCAGTAGAGTTCCTGCTCCGTTGCTCCAAGGCTCGGGTCCAAATTATGTTTTCTTTTCAGCAGAGGGTCTAACCTCCCGGTTCTGGGAAACAGTCAAGAGTGCTGGCGTGGCCTGTTGTTTTGGGAGTTTCTTGCACTACTCTGACCAACCACTGAAGGGAGGTCTCTCCTGCCTGGTACTGTGTTCCTTGCCATACAGCCCCCAGGTACGCATATGCACTAATGTGTGCAGACATCATATGTGCATTTCTCAGGGGGTTTCAGAGGCAACACATTTCCTCTGTCTTCCCTGGCCCTCCAATATCCATTCATCTCTACTCTTTCTCCCCCTCATCTAACCTCCCTCCCCAGTCCAAGCTCTCCCATTATCCTCAGCCTCCCCCCAAAAACACCCACCTCCTGACATCCCCCTCTCTCCTGACTTCCCTCTTCCTGCTCCTGGGCCCCTACGTCCCCCCCCCCCCCGCCTCATAACATCTCTTCCCTGCGATCATCCTCTTTCAGGTTCTTCATTTTCCTTTGCCTCTGTGTTTCCATTCAATATTCCCTGATCTTAGCATCAAGATATACATTCACATATAAGGGATTAGTACTAAGTTGCCCAAATGAGGGAGAATGTACATTACTTGCTTTTTTGAGTCTGTGTTATATCACCTAGTATAACAGTCTCTAGTTCCATTCATTTACCTGCAAATCATAATTTCATCTTTTCTTACTGCTGAGTAGAACTCCACTGTGTAAATGCACCACATTTTTATTATCTATTCATCAGTTGAGGGACATTTAGGTTGTTTCCATTTCTTATTGTGAAGAGAGCAGCAACAAACATGGATGTACAGGTATCTCTGCAGTACGATGAGTCCTTTGGGTATGTGCCAAGGAGTGGTATGAGCAGATCATATGG